CCGATGAGAAACTCAACTTTATTCTCAAGGAGCTTGGTTTCGACGGCGGCTTCAACTACAAGAACGAGAAGCCTGCCGATGCTCTGGCCCGTCTTGCCCCCGAAGGTATCAATATCTACTACGAGAACGTCGGCGGTGAGCATCTTGAGGCTGCTCTGGACGCGATGCAGGACTTCGGTCGCGTCGTCGTGAGCGGCCTAATTTCCCAGTTCAACTCCGCTCCCTACCCTATCAAGAACATGCACAACGTACTCTTCAAGCGTATCACGATGCGCGGCTTTATCGTCAATGACCCCGACATGGGTCCCCTTTACACCAAGGAGCACCAAGAGCGGGTGCAGAAGTGGATCAAAGAGGGTTCGTTCAAGGTGCTCATTCACGAGACTGAGGGTATTGACAACTCGGCCGAGGGGCTGGTCGGTATTTTCTACGGCAAGAATAAGGGCAAGGCCATTTTGAAATTTTAAGCAACTGATATGTATGTACCATCCTTAGCCTGTATATTGGGGGAGGGAAGGACCAAAATCAATAAAATTAACGAGATGCCTGCCACGATTACTTGGGAGGCCTCGGTGATCACGATATGAGATGTAACGAGAGGCGGTTAGCTAATAGGCAACTTGCATGACATCAATCTCTAAATCGCACGGTAAATTTCGTACGATTTGCGCAGTATGCGTAGATGCATTATCGTGCATGAATATCGCATCCGGTTGATTCGGTATAATCGTTGGTAGGTAGAGTAAGTCGATTAAACCACGACTGAATTAACTCCACTGAGTGGTGAATCTGGATCTCTATTCGTTGAAATTATGCCAGTTTGTCGAGTATCACCATTGAAACACCCCCAAAACATCTGCCTGATCTGCTTTCCATGTGGCTTTTCTTGAACTACATCCTACATATCGACGCGATGTTAGCCATGTCTACTAACGTGTTGAAACGTTTCAAACCAAATGTTCTTTTCTTGTCTTAGGCACTTGGATTGACTTCGATGTCGTAACAACTATTTGTAGTATGGATGCCTAGGCAAAGATTGTTATTTTTAGATCAGTAATAATAAACATTGTTTGAAACCGAAACATGATCTAAACTACGGGAGTAACCATATCTAGATTGAGAAGAGCATGTGATTAGGGTTTGAAACAGCATCTCCATGTTTCCGACACGGAAGGCGATGTCGGGCGCTACTGTATACAAAACGTCAAGGAAAGTGGGTCACTTAGTATAATCTGGGATATGGCCCCCTAGGCCCGAAACAGGAACCGAGGTTTTTGTTATGGTCTAGTGGTGAAACAGGTTGTATTTTTCCCACATATAACCCCTGTCTAGGCGGTAAATTACCGCTCCATGTCTCGATTGTGTGATTTATCGGGCAGCTTCTCCAGCATTGTGGGCAGGCCGAGCACTATGCTTGTTATGGATAATGTATCATCTTTTGATTATTTAGACCAAGCCAAACAGGACCAAGTCAAGCACATATGCTTCCGAGGCGGGGGTTGAACTGGGTTGAACTTGCCACCTTAGGTGTGGAAGACGATGGGTATTAGCCAAGGACGATAGAAAAAGCTGTGGAACGCGAACTCGGCAAGAGTCGATAACCATGCCAATCAACTGACTAGGACGACGTCACCATCAATTGGAACTGAGGCAAGGGAGGGTACAGACAAAAAGAGAGTGTTGAGTGGGGGTGGGAAGGTAGAGGGTGCACTCCACAACTATCATTATATGTTAATTTCTTATATATGGATTACGGGTTTGAGGGGTTTTATGGGTTACAGGAATGGGCTGGTTCCACATTCTTTACGATCAGCATCTGTATACTCTATGGGATGCACTGTATTACGTGGTCCCAGCTCGGCGATTGGCTTCGAGTTCTTGCTTCAGTTGGATGAAGCGCCTGCATAGTCATACGCAACTAGTTAGACTACAACAGGTTAATTGGACTTTGATTCATTGATAACATGCCACCTTACTCTCCCGATCTCAATCCCATAGGAATTTTCTCGCTAAAGTGAAGGTCCTACATTTCGGAAATGGCCTTCGGGGTTCGGCCTTTGAGATTCAATCGCCGAAGATGTCCGTTCCATGACTCATGCTGCTGATATTCTCTACGTGTATTACGTGCTTTCTGCTGGCTCGCTTATCTACTGTGTTGGTTCGCATAGATTCAATTGCTTTCCTGACATCCCTCCAGCCCGGAAACCATTGTTCAGCCAAGACCCGAGTTCCAACTTCAAGCCGAATCAGCAAAGCTTACACCATGGCTTCACCCCCATTTCCTGTTGAATCTGCGTTAGATGCCATTGGAAATACGCCTGTCGTGCGTCTCCGTCGCGTGGTTCCGGAAGGCCATGCCAAGGTCTTCCTGAAGCTTGAATACTTGAACCCGACCGGGTCGTATAAGGATCGTATGGCGAAGTCCATGATTGAGCAGGCCGAGATTAAAGGAAAGCTACAGCCTGGTATGACAGTTGTGGAAGCTAGTGGTGGCAGTACTGGCTCTTCTTTGGCATTCGTCTGTGCCATCAAGGGATACCAATTTAGAGTGGCTTCTTCCAACGCCTTTGCAGTCGAAAAGCTACGGACTATGCGTGCCCTGGGTGCCACTGTCGACGTGATTCACAGCCCGTCCGGCTCCGTCACAGCAGATCTTATCCCCTCTATGATACGCCATGCGCAAGGTGTTGCCAGCCAGGAAGGGCACCTCTTCATCGACCAGTTCAATAACACAGACAGCCTTCCTGGGTATGAATTAATCGGCAAAGAGCTGGTTAAACAATTCCCAAACGGAATTTCTGCCTTCTGTGGTATGTTCGGGGCGGCTGGCATGGTCACGGGGGTGTCTCGAGTGCTCAAATCGAGGTGGCCAGAGACACGGTTCATAGTCCTAGAGCCACAATCTTCACCCATTCTCACGGAGGGTCGTGCCGGCCGTCACAGCGTGGAGGGTGTTGGCGTGGGTTTTATCCCACCTCACCTCGATCCCAGCTTATATGATGAGGCACGGGGTATCTCCGAAGAAGAGGGGCGCACTATGTGTCGGCGACTTGCTGAGGAAGAGGGACTACTCGTGGGAACTTCTACTGGTCTTAATGTCGTCGGCGCCATTGCCCTAGCCAAGGAGCTAGGTCCTGATAAGACGGTGGTTACTATTGCTGTTGACACCGGACTTAAATACATGAACGGAAACCTCTTCGCTGATAACAGAAATTAAGGAGGGTGGGACCTGTATGTCGATGTCGTGCCTGATTGAACAAAGACTTGACAGAATTATTTCGGTTACTTGCAGTTGGAGACTTGTACTCGTCCATAATAGTTTAGCATCAATCGGGTTGGCTTTTAATCATTGCCAGTGCTGTCCATCTCTCATATCGACCCAATTCGTAATCTCCTGGAGTCCTTCGAGGTTACATACTCTGTATCACAAGGACGCGATGAGCCTTCCGCGTATGTTTGGATAGAATACATGTTGGCGGGGCCGGATAGATATAAACCACTAAGCCTAATCAGGCTAGCACCTACCTCTGACGGCCCACCATGAATACCTTTGCATACAGCTCCACTTGTAACCTTTCTTCCACATACAACATACACTCGGAAATTGGTTAGATTTGCGTGTGGATAGGCGGGTAGGGGAGATGTAAGAACACTGCATTAATGGATGGGGCAAGTGTTTGAATTGGCCCACTTAGCCAATCATCACTTAATTCCTTACCGGAAGAACTTCTGGCCGCTCCGGTCGATAGTTTACTGGTTTACCCGTTCGATTTTCCTCGATTTTCCCGCTTGGGTTGTCCGAGATTGTTCCGGGGTCTGACTAAACTAGATCCTATTTGACACCCGTGGAGGGAGCTGGCTGCCCGCCGGTTTCTACTACCTCTCTTCATCACGATAGGCACCTCAGATACCACCTTTAAGGGCCGGTAGAGACCACTCAAATATTATTACGTCACTGAAAGTACATCTCACAGTATCACCTGGCACCACTTTCCTTTCTGCTGTCCCCCATGTACGAACCTGTACGTCCTCGGTACAAGAAGACAAATATTACTCGAAGCCGAAATGGATGCATTCCCTGCAGGCAGAAAAAACGAAAAGTGAAGCCTACCCCGCAGATGGTTCCAATGGTTACTGATATGGCACGTCGTCGACATTAGTGTGACGAGAACAGACCTAGCTGTGGGCTCTGTTCACGCCTCGGAAGCCATTGCTCTTTTCGGAGCCCTCCGCTTCGATTTAAAGAGTTGTCTTTCAATTTGGGGCGGACAGCAGAAGTTGAGACTCGGAATCTTGACCACAGTGAGGTATCTCGCACCAAGTTGCATAATCATCGACATACCCAGCACGGCACGATCAACGAAGACAACGTACTCCCGAATTCAACTTCCACCAATGGCCGCCAACTTCAGATTTTGAATATTCCTCATAAGCCTTCAATCGCTGTTTCCGATGGAGTTTTTCTTCACCAATACTTCTCCCATATCATCGAATTTCTACCTAAAAGCGTACGACTAGTTGTGGCAAGCGGGCTAGACTTGCCCGCTCTTAGAGAAGCAACGGTTGCCTTCTCTGCCGCTCGATTTGCCTACTCCTTTGGGAACCCGCGCCAGGCACGGTCAAAGAACTTGTCCCCACTTTTTATTCAATCGCTGAACTACTTCGGACGTGCGATTCAATTGGTTAAGCAAGACACCAGCCAGATCGAAGATATCCTTGCTGCAGTGATTTTCTTCATACTCTTTGAAAATGTCGTTGGGACCGTCAGGACCTTTTACTGCCACTTACGAGGGCTAGAGACTCTCATCCTTCGGCACTACCGCGCTTTATCTGGAACACCTTACGGCCGACTGTTATTGCGTGCGAGTCTTTTCATCCGTGCAAAAGGATTTCTCATTCTAGGACCGTTGCATGCAACACATCGCAGCCAAGTTGCTGACCGAGAGCTTGATCTTCTTGCGCGCCGGATCTGTACACCACAAGAACTGCTATTTATCACAATGACAGATTCCATCCGTGTGTCATCTATTCTCCTTCTTCAGAGGTATTCACAGTCCCGCTGCGATGAGTCAGGGTTATTTGGCCTGAAGCTTCCAATCCCCGGAGATGGAGGAGATTGCCTTTCTGGATGCAACAGCGAGTCCGAGGTTTACCAGAAGCTAGACGATCTTAGGCAATATGTTGATTTCCTCTTCGCTCAGTCGAATTCGCTATATAATGCATTTCTTCGATGTACGGACCATCCAATATTCCAGCGAACCGATCTCGGCTACGCAGAAGATGCCATTCTGCCTATGACATTCGAAAGCCGTGAAGACGCAATTGCTTGCGCGATGTATGCCTTGGTGCAGGTCTTTTGTGACCGCCAAACACTTAGGCATTTGCTTCTAGCGGAGACTGGAGAAGTGGCTTTGCCGTTAACTCGGTGGGCTAAGGTGATCCTTGCTATTGCGAAAGGATGGGATCCATCACAATACTTATACGAGGAGACGTATAACATGAACATAGGATGGATTGTGGAGTTGCTTTGTCTTCGCTGGCCCAACGCTGATATATTGACCTACCTAACTCAGCACCTCGTCCCTGGCCTCAGGTTGGCTCGGCATGCCATGGAAGATACTGCAGGGGCTTTGATGCTATTTGATTTGGTAATAGACATGCTCAATTCCGAAAACGCCCGTGGACGCAAAGTCTTTGCCATGCACCTTGTCCATGAAGATTCTCCTAAGGAAAACGGATTCTTCCTGCCCAATCAGTCATTCCGTTTTGTCGTCCATGGTTATAATGACGATGGAGAGTTTTTCCATGATTATATCTCACCGCCAACTTGAGCTAGAAGTAAATGAAACGATATTCCCCTTCATTACATGCTGCGTACGTCCAAAACTCGGTCATCTGTCAAGCACCAAGCTAGCATAAGCAGGAAGCCAAACTTCTCGGGGAGTCAGGAGTCTGTTCGTGAAACAATGAGGATGTACAGCACCTCCAAGGCTACGAGTAGATACCGCAGGACGCCTGCCACTCCACATTCCCGACTTTTCAAATATTCTTCGTTCAGTCTGTGAGAGGGCTTCCGTAGCACTTGTGGAAAGAAATTATTAATCCCTATAGTATTTGTCGTAACTGGCTTAAATATATATAAAAAGGTCAGTCGATAAGTACGTTAAATATGTTACCAGCCAGTTCTTCAAAAGAAAGAGTGCATTTCAACGAGTATACTAAGTATAGAGAGTAAAGGAAGGAAAGAAAGAATCCCCGAGATAGGATCCTTTGTGGGATCCTGTCACAATCAAATAAATAATGCAAACTACGCTAAGGCGGAAACCTTTAGTAGAATCGAGTTTCCTTTCCCTAGATCGTTATATAACCTCCGACTAAGAGTATATTTAGTCCCTAAATACTAGCTTATTATCGTTAGTATAATCTTCTAGGATTCTGTGAAGGATATGCCTGGGCGCACATTCTTCCGCTCGGCCAGAAGACCATTATATCAGAGCCCTCGCTCTGATATGCCCAGGACCAATATATATAGTAGCGCACATAGTTATCTATGACAGATTTGTCCTTCTTTATTAGTATTAAGCTAGTCTTAGAGTTATATAGGAGGGCTAGGTTTTAGAAGGTACTATTTATAGAATTCCTAGATCTTCTTCGGTATATATTTAAAATTTCTAGTAGGATATTACTACAGATCAAGATTATATCTAGGCTACTATACTCGGTATTATAAATTATAGTAGTGTGATCCCACAACATGTGTGACACCTATATATATACATACCACTTCGGTTAAACTGAGTTCTAGAACTCAGTTTGGCTATGCCTTTTTGGCTTAATGAGTAAACTCTCGGAGTAGTGGCCAGCGGGGATCTCAGTAGTAAGTTCTTGTATCTGAGATCTTACCGATTTCCTATTTATCTAATTCTCTAACCCTTTCCGGTAGTACTAGATCCTTATATTATTCTTATAATATTTATTCGCTTAATAAATCTATAATCACTATAACTTCGTAATTTACTCTTTAGTCTAAGTCTAGATCTCGATAGCTTAGAGAGTATTTATACTATATCTTATTTATTAGGTATTATAGTCTTTTAATCTTTCTAATTAAATATTATTATAGGCAGATATTCCGTACCTTTAAACCTTTCGAACCTTCCGCCTCTATAGAGTATAAAAGAAAGCCTATCGTATATCTATTTATTGTTACGGACCTATCCGTCACCAATCAGTGGTGACCCACCAGGTACGCCAATAGGCCATGGAGAGCCAACCAGCAACCAACCAGCAAGACCTGTCATTAGGTCACGTGTAGCATCCTATACTCTAGAAACCCTAGGTATTTAGGAAAAGAGAAACCGTGATTATGTTTACTAAGCGAGAGTATGATCCGCGATTGCAGAAGTCCTAGAGAAGAACTCTGACATTACTCCCGTATACGATAAATCGGCAGCTGTCCTTTACTTTACATGGGGCGATAGACAATGGATCTCTTATGACAACAAAACAACCTTTAAGCAAAAGGTTGATTGGGCGAATGATATTGGCCTTGGAGGTGCCATGATCTGGGCCTCGGATCAAGGTATGTTAATGAAGTATATCTTCAAAAGTCGGAAGACAATCTAACGTTCTCTAGACACGTACTCTTGGAGCGCACATGAAGCTCTACTTGGCAAAACGCTCAAGTCAAACAGTCAAGTAGCCCTTCAAACCGACTCTGCCTTGCTTAAGGAACTCTCTGTTAAAGCCGTCAACAAAGGTCTGAATCAACAATGTTACCGGGGTACGGAATGTGTCGATCTCAGCAACCCTCAGGTCAATTGCGAGGCTGGTTATACTCTCGTGGGATATGACAAGTCCAAATGCAGAAAGTCTGCAGATTATTATGGTATGCCAATCTGTTGTGCGACGTCTTCAAAACCATCTTCTTGCACATGGCGAGGCAGTGGTGGAGACTGCGATGGACAATGCCATGAAAACGAAGTGACTCTTTTCACGTCCTCAACTGGAGGTGGAGACTATGATGGCTTCAAAAGCCAATCTGGCACGAAGAAATGTTCTCGTGGCAAGAAAGCTTTCTGCTGTACAGATGATCAATTCGACGACCTGACAGCAGATTGCTATTGGACTGGCTGTAACGGCAAATGTGCCAGTGGTGAGACCAGCGTCGCAACCGCAAGCAACCTTTACGATAAGTGTACTATCTTCCATCATTCAATGCACTATTGCTGCAAGACATCGCCTGCTCCTTTGACGGACTGTCACTGGGTGGGAAAAGGTGATTGTGCAGACAACCGATGCAGTAGTTCTGAAGTCACGCTAGCAACGAATGGTCAAGGCGACTCTTTTTCGAGCTGCAACTGGTGGCGCAAGAAGGCTCTCTGCTGTACCCCTGGAACGTCTGCGGCGGCTGGATGTCAAGATGTTGACCCCTGTGATCTCGACTCGACGCTGTGTACAGACTATAATGACGAGTATGGCACCAGTCTCAGCAAGCGTGATTTGCTCCCTGGATGGGCAGATCTCGAGGGAGACCTTGAATACGATGGATTATACAATGGGACCTACTTGGACCTCATCGAGAGGGAGCTCATGTTTGACGATGATGAAGAAGAGACGCACACGCTTGAAAAACGAGCCGCTCCAAGAAGAGAAATGCCCGTGAGATTTATGCTTAAAGGCATTGAAAAAGTCGTCACAATGTTGTCAATGTCTTATCCTTCGAATGGAGAGTTGTTCAAAGGCAAGCGAGGGAAAGAGGTCCTTCAGAAGGCCATGGTTTTGGCATCACAATCTTGTGGATCATGTGCTATATCCGCCATTGATCCCAGCTCTGCTTCAAAATGTGACACGGAGCATATTGTGGATCTTCAATATATCCCACAGCTCTTCACCACAGCCCTTAGTGGGGTTCTCCCTACAGGAAAGAAAATGGCCTCTTCTATAATCAACCAAGCTGACTTCCTGAAATACGCCAGGGACGCAGTTTCGGACCTTGCCAAGGCAGGAAAGATTTCCAGCGGCGATTCTTCCATCATGAATGATCGTCTTTTCAATGCAATTGGATCCACCACAAATCGTCTCGGCTTGATCCGTACAGCTACTAATGTGAATCTGTACAAGGGTCGGGTTTTCGATTTTTTGGATGATTCTAACTTCGAGTTCACTGGCTCAATTAAAAGTGTTATCGAGTTGAAGAAGTGGCAGAAGATTCTGAACACCGCGGTAAAATATGGCACGTCAGAAGACCAGCTTCTCGATCCGATCCGTATGACTATCGCGGTGTGGGTGTACCTCAACAATGCGCAAGTCCTTGCACGACTCAATCAAGTTCGTCAAAACATCTATACTGAGACGAAGAATGTCGCAACCTATGTGCCGGGTATGACCAGTTTGCCATCGATTATGAAAGAATTCGATAAAGCCTACTTCGAGCATGCAGCGGCCGAGTCATTAAAATGGACAGAAGCACGCATCGCAGCGGTTTCTTCTGCATACACGAATACTCTGATTGTCCCTGGGAACTCGGAGATTGTGAAGTCCACCCTCAACCTTCTTTACAACAACTTGAATGAGATCAAAACTCCCGATTTAGATTCTTTAGATTAGACTGGTTAAGTTCTTTGCCCTCGGCAATGAAAACTGAACCGCTGCCAGTACCTTAGTGGCAATGATAGCTCGAGGACAAAAGAAAGAATACTATACAGGGGCTAGCATTGCCTCAATCACGAATTACTATCCATGCCAATATATTCAAATGTTAACTTTATAAATTGATATATCGGGAAGTATCTAACTACTCCTTATGTACAATTAGTATTATATGTGTTCGAATGTTCACATTTAAAAACATTTGAACAAGAGAGAAAAAGGGTGAACATAACACAAAACAGAAGAAATTGTTGCCAAAAACATCATTATTTTGATTTATGAAGAAATGACCAGCCCAAATAGAAACATGTTCCTGGAGCATGGAGGTAGATTTATAATTTACAGTTTCCAATGCCCATCCTCTTCGTCAGGGAACACTCTAGGTGGACGCGCATAGGCTTTGTACCATGATTCTCGTTGATCTCCATGCTGTGAGAGATCCTGGTACAAACTTGCGATTGACCCAATCTCCGCCCACATCCATCCCAAGACAGGAACTCTAAGTCCATCAACCTCATCGAAGAGGATATAATCTTCATCCTTCGGGTAGTATCGGTCCTCTGGATCTTCAGATTCGGCATTATGCTCCTCCGCATTCAGCTTGTGGGTCACACCATCGGTGTATTCCGCTCTATGCCAACCTCTGTACATCTCAACATCCCATTTTCTAGTTAGAACGACAATAGGCGCAGTCTCCCTGTTTTCCTCGTCATGTTGGAGCTCATTGAATTTCTTTAAACAGTCGTCATCCACGACAAGACAGGCAGATTCCTGGGCGCCACTGCTAAAGCCTGTGTCCGATCGAACTGGCGTGCCTCGGGGATCGCGGGAGTCCACGACCCATTGGGTGAATCTTTCACGGATCGTGTCGTGAGAAGAACCTTGGAGAGAGGGATCTGAGAAGACAGGGCAAAAGAAGTAGGGAAACAGATATTCTTGATTGGCCTGGCGCAAACTTTCGCGCGCTTCCCCGTAAAGAGTCTGCATATATGCATTCCAGAGCCCATCATCGCCATAGCTCAGACGGAAAATGGGTAGACCCCAAAAAGGTCTACTTTTGATGCTATCGGCAATAGAAGGATAATATTCTCGTCTGCTGGACAGCTCTTCTGGGGTGAATGCCGGGAAGTTTGAAGGCGGTTGAGTCGGGATAGATAATTGATTCATTTTGACATTCAAACGTTCGGAGACACCGAATGACCTTCTTTGTAGAAATGGTGACGATAACCGCGAGCAGGGGTAAGTGAAAGTTGACTTCCTCAGCAAATGAATATGCAGTGGAGCACGCATTGTTCGGGGTGCTAGACCCGAAGACGAGGGCTGGAAGTTGGAACAAAACCGAAATAAGTTGGTTACCTAGTTCTTAATATACCCCGGGTATTTACTAAGTAAACCTAAGTGCTTACTAAGTATATCCTGAGTGTCGGATTACAGGGGGTGTCGCTATACCAATCCCCTTTTTACATTACTAATTATACCCTAAGTGCCCAGGTGCTTACAGTGATCACCCGTGCCGTGAAATACTCAGTGAGCAGGAGCCTGAGCGCCCTCATAAAAGCGGCGGCACCCCGATCGGGAAATTCGCGACCGTGGCCTAAAAACCGGTACATACAGTTACATATATAGCGGCTGTAATTTAAATGTACATAAGAGGTCCTTAACGATGCTTTCTGTACAGCCTTCTTCCTTGTCTCACAAGTGGCTTCTGATAGCTTTCGCTGTAAGTAGTGAGGAATTACCACTGATTTACTGCAAGTCTTTATGACGGAAAGCTGGTGTACGAACAATGTATGGTATAAATGACCAATGTTGACAACTCTAACTAAAATGACAAAACCCGCTATTTCAACAATCTGTGCGGACAATGATGACTAACTGTAATATGCACTTTTGTATGGTATGCCTGGTACCCAATGTCACATGATGTTTCCGGTATATTACCTGGTTTCTACCATGTATTCGGACTTAGTATTCGACACACCCCCTAGTTCTTAAAGCCTACATTTCCTGGCTTCAAGAGCTGTCAATTCCTTCATTTCTAAGCCTTCCAATAGCTTTAATTTCATCAATTTCTGCACTCTCTTTAAGTAGCCTCTGTTTCTTAGATCAGATGACTGATCTCTCTTATCCTAATCAGCTCTCTAAAGAGATGCTGCTTCTATCTCGGAAGCGCTTTCGTAAGGCTATCTGCTAGCATAACCGTAGTTGGAACCTAGTTAACATTGACTCGACCCTCGCTAACCTCCTATCTTATCTAGTAACGATTAATGTTAATATATCGGAGCTTCGTATATATCGCCGCCCCTTCCTTTATTAACAAATCGACGGTTTGCTAGTTATTATATATAATAGATAGTAGGTGGTTAGGTTAGAAGCCTAATATAGAGAGGACTCGACGCTACTACTATACGGTTTTGCCTACCTCGGCTAGAGCTAGCAGCTCTGCCTCTATAGTCGATATAGTTACCGTCTTCTACTTAGTTGCTTTCTAATCTATAGGGCCCCTATATAGCTTATAAATATAACCCTCGGAGCTTTTCCTATCCTTATTGTCTCTAAACGATATATCGCTTATAAATTTAATTAATTTTATAGCTAGTTAGAGACTTAGTTTAGGATTTAAACCGAGGTTTTTATTATATCGATCTTAATAATCTCTATCTCTTTCTCTAGTACTATACTTAATAGCCTAGTACCTAGTTTCGTATAGGTATTATATAACTCGGTCAATAGTATTAATATACTTAGGACCGGGGTTAGTAAGGAACTTAGCTAGTTTAGCTATAGCTTTTATAGTATCTAGCCGGGTGATAGTAGTAGTATACTAAGTAGATCCTACCTTAGCCTAGAAACTATAAATCTAACTCGGTAACGCTACTCTATCGTACGGAATTAATTGATCGATAGCTAATAGAGATCCTACTTTCCTTATAGTGATCAAATTATACCTCGCTACTATACTTTTAATATAGCTATCCTAGTATAACTAAAGCTTCTTTTATTCCCTATCTCTAAGAATTCGTATATTTAAGAACTAGCTTATATCTAGTTTACGTAATTCCTATTACTTCTTAATCTCTCGATCTAGCTAAGCTGCTTACTCTACGTAGTCGGGATAATTTACTATAATAATATCGTCGATATAAAAGAAGACGATAATACTAGTAGTAATAAAGATATATAGATCTTCCGGTACTAGGGTAAGGCCTAGTTTTACTAGTACCCTAGTTACTTCTTACTACTATAGTCTTAGTAATATACGTAATCCGTATAGCGCTCTATAGAGCAGCTAGTATTAATTTAATACTTCGAATCCTAGAGGGCACTTTATATATACCTTATTTTATAGTACTAAGTTTAGAAATATAGTAACTATATCTCTCTATATTATATCTAGATCGAATATAGCTACTAATATAAAGATAGCCCTCGCTATCTTAATAGCTAGTATTATAGCTCTCTTTTCCTCTATAGATAACTATTAAAGATCTCTACGAATATAGATTCTCGCTTTAAACTTCTCTAGTATACTATTATACTAACATACCCCCTTAATCCTTATAATAATTATAAGGATTATTAGCATATAGTATATATATATATATATATAGTAGGTCCTTATATAGTATCTAGATTAGCTAGATCTATTAAGGCCTTATATAAGACATTATTAATATTCTTTGTTAAGAAGTTAGCTAGTATATATTTAGAAAGTATCTGGTTTATAACCACTTTTCCTTCTAATATAGCTTGTCTTATAAAATGATATATAATTTTAATATACTTAGAGCGCTTATAGAATTCTAGATTTTTAGCTAATTTCTTAGCTAAATTACTATTAACTAAGATAGTAGGTATACTTTTTATATACCCTAGATCTAGCTCTATATTTAATAAATTAAATATATTAGCTAGATATATAGCTTCCTTAGTAGCCTCTTTTAGAGCTATATATTCTACTTTATAGCTACTAAGGGCTATAGTCTTTTATAGTTAAGAATTCTAGCTTATAGGGTTATTTAACCCTATACTAGGGCTTAGGCTAAAAATATAGCTAGATATAGACTTTCTTAGGTCTAAATTATTACCCTAATCTAAATTAGAATACCCTTTAATATATAGGTTATTACCTAAGCAATTATATACTAATCCTATATTAGGATAGGCTAATAGATATTTCTAAATCCTATTAAAGGCTATAAAATAGTCCTTACTAGGATTACTTATATATCTAGTATAGTATATAGTAGTAAAGGTTATATCTAGCCTAGTTTTAAGGGCTAAATAGAGTAAAGACCCTATTTGTTTTTAATATTCTTTAATATTATTAGGGCTTACTTTAGTAGTATTTTTCTTCAATTTTAGCCCTAGCTTACCCGGTATTTTAATAGGCTTATAGCTAGGATTATTATATATAGAGAACTTAGTTAATAGTTTCTCTATATATCCTTTTTAGTCTATATATAGTATCTTAGTCTTATAATTAATAGTTATACTATTACCTAAGAATATTAATACTATACTAATTTCTTCTATCTTTATATAGTAGCTAATTTTAGCTACTATATTATATATATAGCTTAAATCTTTATATATTACTAATATATTATTAACGTAATAGATTAGTATATATTTGTCCTTAGGGTTTATATATATACCTTTATTATATATAAAAACCTTAAAGCTAAATTTAGCTAAAATAGTAGATAGATATTTATACTAAAGCCTAGGGCTTTATTTTAGACTATATAATACTTTCTTTAAATAGTAGCATTTTTTAGGATTATTATATACTCCTATAGGTAGGATAGTATATATATTAGTATCTATATTAGTATATATAAAGGCATTTTTAATATTATATTATAGTACGTACTAGCCTTTATTAATAGCTATTATTAATATTAGATACTATAACTTAGTTCTATATATTATAGAAAAGGTTTCTAGGAAATCAACCCCTAGCTTTTAGTAAAATCCCTAAATAACCTACCTAGCCTTATATCTAATAGTCTTATTACTATTAGTAATATAGTCTTTATCCGGATTAGGACTATTTATAGGTTTCTTTTTAAAAACCTATCTACCCCTAATAGGGGTTATATTAGGTAGTATATCTATTATATCGTAGGTTCCTTATTTTTCTAATTCTTTAACCTTAGCTAGATAAGCCCTTTACTATTCGTCCTTTTCTAGACTATTTATAGCTTCTATATAGCTATTAGGTTTAGATAATAGCGAGGTAGTTAGTAGGAACCTACTATCTATATTAGTCTCTATAGAGCTAATATAGTTAGTTAGTATAGTATCCTTTATAGTATATAATATAGGTATTTATACTTCTACCCTATAATTAGGGTTAGCTATAATTCTAGAGATATCTCCTCTAGTTATTACCTTATTACTATTATTATTAGGATCTATACTAATTTCTTTAGAGCTTATAAGCTTATTTTTAGGACTTTTATTATAAAGATTTATATTTCTAGGTAGTTTCTCTAGAAATTTATTTTTATATATAGTAATATCCCTTAACTATAGGTATTTTTACTTATTATAGTCCTATAATTTATAGTAGTTATATTTACTATAACCTACTAATATAGCTTCCTCCTTTCTAGGAGATAGCTTAGTTTAATAGTTATTAATATAATAATAAACTAATAAGCCCTAAGCTTTAATATTAGCTATATTAGACTCTCTCCTATTTAATAATTTATATAGGGTTTTAAACCCTAAAGCCTTATATAGAGTCCTATTATATATATAGGTAATAGCCTAGAGTACTTCTCCTTATAGATAATTAGGGCTTTTAGATTAAATAAGTATAGCTCTTACCTTATTAAATAGGGTAAGGTTAATTCTTTTAATTAGTCCGTTTGATTCCTTAGTATAACTAGGAGTAGTTATATAGTTAATACTATATCTAGATAGGGCTAATTAGAAGTACTTATTAATATACTCTCTACCTTTATCGGTAAAGAATTGCTTAATTTTCCTATTTTTAGTATTCTCTATTAAGGTCTTAAAATCCTTAAATACTTTATAAATATTATCTTTAGAAAATAGTAAGGTAATCTAGAGATATCTAGATTTTTTATCTAGGAAAGTAATATAATACCTATATTTATTATAGGTAGGTAGTAGAGGTCTACCTAAATTACTAT